GGCCAGGCCAAGCCAGACTGGGCTAGGCCGGGCCAGCCCGGGCAAGGCCTCAGGCAGTTTACCTTAAGCGCATGTTGCGGCTTTCTCATTGATTACTTCCATTTGAATTGCTCTCCTGCCGAGTCGACCAGCCCCTACTGCCCTTTATCACGACTGGCTTAGCCGCCAAATTTCACTCGACAATCGGCCGACCGACCGGTTGACTGGCCGGAGAATGGGAGCTCTGGTTTGTCGAGAGGTGCTGGGCGCCCGACTGGGCTGGTCGGCCGGCCCGGTCGGATGACTAGGGCAATTGGGGGCCGATCGGTAGCCGGTTCGGGACATGTCTGTAAAGTGGGCAAGGCGAGTGAGTGGATAGGGGGCGGCATGGCCGCAGGAGTGAAAGGCCAACTTGGTGATTGTATAACTTTTGTACGAAGATTCGGCCTGTTTATCAGTCTGCTGGACCGTCTTCCGGCGTCTCTCTGTCCATCGGGAGTTCCATGTGGTCGCTGGTCAGGCCTCACATCCGCCTGCCCATCGGCCTGGCTCTGTTTGTCCAAGGATGTTGGCTGTTTACATCTGCTTCTCCCTTCATTCACTCATTCGCCTCCACGCGGGTGCTTTATGCCTGCGTGTCAAGACGTCTTGGCTTGTGAGTGCAAGACAAGAGAGATTTGTCTCGTTATTTTCCCATCTACAGCGCGCCATCTTTGCGTACCAAGGCTTGGCGTATCAACCCATGCGCCCCCACCGGATTCGGCTGCACTCCGTCACTCTCGATAATCGGTCCGGTCATCTTGACCGACCCTTACGTTGAAACACACGCCTTCGGATCTCGACCCAATCGGTTGCCACAGTCATAGAGGCATCTGAAGCAACGGCTCTCTTATCAGTTCAGAGAATCTGTGCCGTCAGGTCTGCCTAGGCATGCCCTATTCGCCTGGGCTGCTAAGCTGGTCTTGTTCGCCTCCATCGTGTGTCGTTTTCCACCGCGTCTGGCGCTCATCTGCCGGTTCCATCTTACGACTGCCAGGCATGGACAGTTGGTCTATTGGGCGAAGATAGAGAGACATTTCTTTAGGCTGGTGACCCTAGCCTGATCAGTAGACTGGGTGAGAAGTGGAGGCGTGCCAGCAGGTGACCTCTTTACATGTTCGAGCATTTGGCCCTGGCAGTCAGAGTGCTTGCCTTGCTTGGGAAACACTGATATTTAGTTGTCAAGCCTACTCAGATGGCAAATAAGTATCCTCGTCGATTATAATGATGGGCAGTTATCACTATGGTACTATGACGTAAAGCTGGTTTCCCAAGATCCCTTCATAGATTGATACTGGTGTGCCTTTCGGTTCGTTTGAAAATTTGCCCTCATCAGAAGCTAAAACAGGATTGCCTTGCATTTTTGTTTGTAGATTTGTGTGCACAAGCAATAGACGCATCGTATCGTGTTTACAACGAATCCGTCCTGAGCTTTCGTCTCTCATGCAAGAAGGTCATCATGCTTAACGATACCTCAGCAAAGGGCCTGGACTTTTTGGCCGTTGAGCTTGATGAATTATCGTAAAGCACAGTGTCCTGCTTTGACGATGCATGATAGATGGAAGGTCAACATAGATTTATCTGGCTCGTGGGACGATTCGCTAAAGTGACATATGCACAAATCTACAGCCCAAACTGCCAATTTACGAATCGCTTTCATTCACTTCTTCAACTACAAAAACTGTAATGATGCCTGTCACAAGATAAACGAAAACTCAGTACATATGCTCCAGATTCACAGGATTGTGTGCTAAGAATGCCTTCGC